ACAGGCTGAGGTCTTACCTAGGCCCCTCCTTAAACTAGGCCTAGGGTCAGGCTGACACAACAGTCGGGCTTCACATACTGACATGGACTGAAGTTTTTGGGGGGAAAATGGGACAAAATTGAAGCATGAAATGAAAAATAGAGCGCATAAGAGAAATATTATTAAATAAATAATATACCATTCCGGCGTTATTGAACTTGTCCAAACTATCAATGTAATTATTAAATGCTAAATAATAATAATAATAATAATAATAATAATAATAATGATAATAATAATAATATCAGCATTAATTATCCTTGGCCTAAACTTTGTAATGAAGAACCTACAGATACTATTTACTAGGCCTATAATAACTAGCCCAAGGGGAATATCTTTTGTGTTATTTCCCCTTAACGTACAGGTAATAATAATAATGATTATTATTATTATTTTTGGGCATTACATGTAATTAACTTGGTCTAGCCTTGTAATCAAGAACCTGCCGATTACTATGCCTAATATTAATAACTAGCTCATTTTTACATTCATTTGGTGCTCTGGCATTTTGGCAGGTCTTATGACATCCAGTAATTTAGAGCTGCCTATTCTCAGCTCTTCTCTTAATTTGAAAATAACTGTCATTCTGTTTCATTTGATCAGTGATGAAGAAAAACGCGCTTTTCCTTACTCTTTGTGCTTTTCCCAGAAAGCGTTTTTAGTAGGCCTACTTGTAGGCCTAGGGAATTATGCAAAACCCAGGCCTAACTAAAAAATTAAAATTGTCATAGTATGTAACTCAAGTTAAAATAAAACTTTTCATTACTCGTGCAGCTTAATCAAATATTATATGTCATTTTAAACGACCCATTGGTATTAACATGGTAACATCGATGTATTTTTGAAAATTAGACAGCGACGTTCTCTCAGAAGTTGTTCTGTAGACGTTTATCTGTTGATGACCTTTTGACCTCCTGAATTCTGCAATGAGATTTTCGGGTCGATTCAGCCGAGACGGCCCGAGTGGAGTTTCATGTAAATGTTTCGTACGGGAAAAAAATCGCTCCCAGCCCATCGGTGCCCCGTGATCGAAAAACGCGATCGGAGGAACGTCAAACTTTGACGCCATAATTACTGATTTCACTCACCACTTTGGTCTGTAAAATCACGGATCCCTGGTTCTACAGGTATTTTACCTCGTCGCCAGTTTAATATTGTTTATTGATGATTGCAACAAACCATCTGATACTCCAATTCAATTGACACATCATACCAAATAACGGCCCTACAACAAGTGTCCATTTTATGTGTGTCTTTATTTAGCATATCTTCCGGCTAATCACGCTGGCCGCCCTAGTCACATGGTATGATCAACATTGTGACGTAGTCACATCACTACAACATCCAACATCAAGATAGATGTTACAATACTAGAACAAGTATCACAATTTAAATACGTGAGAGTGACAATGACACAATATAACGACTGTTCCTGTGAAATAAGACACAGGATTCTACTAGCGTCTGTGGTCCTTGGCAAGGTCCAGAGATTTAGAAAGATGAAGGTGGCTCACATAAGACAAAACTCTTGTAAATACACTTGTTGCAAAGTCTCTATTTGGTGACTGAGCCCTCATCGTTCGTTGGGCAGCGCAATGAGCAGCGCACGCGCGCTAGTGAACTTGTTCGTAAACTGTCTGTAAAATGAGGCAATCTAGCGTTCCAACTCTAACATTAAAACCTTAATTACCAGTGTTTCGATATGTTGTTATCATTATGAACTGTATTGCTTGTTTTAGTTATATACCAAGACTTAATGTTGTGAACGTATTTTTATCTAATTAAGTGTTGATAGGCCTTTAAATCAGTATGATACCTAGGCCAACTGATCGAGGGATTCCCTCGTTTGATAAGTTCAGGCCAAGCACAATAATTTACCACTCCACAAAGTCAAAGTAAAAAAATACCCTGAAGGCAGTGGTTCAGAAATGGGGGATAACCA